CATCTGGGTGTCCCATCACTAATCAGGGGCATCCCAGTAATTTCTTGTACCTTGTACTATATTCATCTATAAATAAAGAACTGGTCGACTGGCTAGTACAGTTCGACATTTTCAGCATCTCTTCTTCTTCTCCTCTTCTCTGCTACTTCGACTACAGTGGTTCAGCTTTCACTTGAATCATCTAAAACAAGTGTGCAGATGACCAAAAACACAAAATGAACTATGGCCTCTTCATGGGGTGCTTTGGTTAGGTATGACAGTGTTGAGATCAATGATATATAAGAGGGTATGGAGAAAACTAACAGGATTGAAGTGGATTTTGTCCATAAGATCAGAACAGGACGGAAAAATGGAGGAGGGCATTTGAAGTCTTATGTGATAGAAGAATACCACTTAAGTGAAAAGAGAAAATTTATAAAAGGGGTATAAGGCCAGCAATGTTGTATGGAGTTAATTGTTAGGAAGTCAAGAACTAACATGTCCGAAAAATGAGTGCAGCAGAAATGTAAATGTTGAGATGGATGAGTGGGAAAGCTAGAAAGGTCAGGGTTAGAGAAGAACATATTCAAAAGAACTTAAGAGTAGCTCCAATAGGTGATAAAATGAGGGAAATTAGACTAAGATGGTTTGGTCATGTGCAGAGAAAACCAACTACAGCACTAGCGAGAAGAAGCAATGATTTAAGGGCATGTGTTGAAGCGTCTAGAAAAGCTAGGGACAGACCAAAAAGGACATGTGTTGAAGTAGTTAGAAATGATTTAAGGGCTCATAATTTAACAATGGACATGCCATTTAACAAAGCAGAATGGCATAGCAGGATACATGTAGCCAACCAACCTCATTTAGCTGGGACAAGACTTACTTTGGTTGAGTTGAGTCATGCTAAATGACCTAGGTGTCTTCCATATAGCAACAAGATGTGGACCCGAAAGAGACACATGTTCTAACATAAAGGAAATTTTAGATGAAAATTCCTTGCCATGTGTTCAAATAATCCCTTTCCTGTGGGTGTTTCTGGAATTGAAAATTTTAAAATTTGGACATTCAATCTATTGAAAAAAGAACTAGTAGGTCCATTAAGAGGTGGGACATAGGCTGACATGGTCCAAGGGAGTGAAATGCAAAATGAGATGGAGCCCTTTAATAGGTCACAAACACTAAAAAGAGAAATAAAGAAGCAGATGAGGAATCAAATTAAAAGGAGGAAAATGAAATATCCACAAAATTGGGAAATAGTAGCAAAACCAATAAAAAAAGACTTCAAATGTCTTAGACAATAGCAACAGCATAAGGCATTTCTGCTCTATGAATCATAAGATTTCAATGAAAGCAAAAACAAATATTGACAAGCCCTGTACGAAGGTCATTATGTTCGATCTGGAAAAAATAAATACACAAAAAGGGGAGTAAAGAACAGATACCTTTTTAGAGAATGCAGCAAAAGGATTTATGTCATCCTCATAAATCTTTTTGTACTTCGATTCAACATCTGAAGTGAAGCCGCTTTCAACATCTTCTAAGTGCTGAAATAATCACGTAACAGGTAAAAGAAGTTAAGAAGAAACTGTGGAGACTCTATAACTTGATGTATCTTATTAGTATAGTCCCTGTTGTATAATACTTATACATCTTTTTCTTCTTTTCTCTTTCAGCCCTATATGGGCATTCTTGTAATTGTACATATATTTTAATATATAAGAGACTCTTTGTGGTGGGGGTCTTTCATTCTTGACACCTCTAAGATTATCCTTCTTCTTTTCTCTATTCAGCCAAGAGTGTTGACATGGTATCAAAGCGGGTTGCTCTCTGATCTATTTTCTCTCTCTTGAACCTCACTAGAAGCAGTAATCCTGTCGTATTAGGGCTGTTTTGATCAACCCTTTTCTGTTCAGTCTTCTTTGTGCAACCAGCAGGAGAGATTCATTAGATCTCTCTTGGGAGATGTTGGTTCGAGGCCAAACTTCAGATCTGGTGTTGCCTAGACCTGATCTATTCTCCCTACAAACAGCATCTGATTTGGTGAAGTTTTCGAAGGAGTTCTGATCTTCTTGGGGTGGCAACACTGTAAAGTTTCCTTTTTTTGGACTGCAACAGCTTTGGACTTCAGATCTGGTGTTGCCTAGACCTGATCTATTCTACCTACAAACATCATCTGATTTGGTGAAGTTTTCGAAGGAGTTCTGATCTTCTTCTTGGGGCGGCAACACTGTACAGTTTCCTTTTTTTGTACTGCAACATTTTTTGGACTTCAGGCCTTCTACATCAGCCTGCGATTTGAGTTTTTCTCTCCATATTGAAGGGTTCTCTCAAGCTCTCCTTAACCCTACACTCAGTTTCTGGTTTGGAGATTTCTAAGGACTGTTTCAATCAGCACAAGATACCTCCTTGTTCTTGAAAAAGATGCCTAATGTGTTGGTAAATCACACTTTTCTCTCAGTCGGCTGATGCGATCAACCTATAACCCTAGATCTGGTGTTGTCCTAGGGTTTTCTTGCTTCCCATTTATTTGATTCAGACTTCAGATTGATATTTGAGAGGTTTTAGACTCGACAGTCTTAAAAACTTGCCTTTTTTTTGGACTGTCATCTTGAGTTCTTGACTGCTGAATTTGGTTGTCTCTGATATCCTTGTGCTTGGACTGCTGTTTACATGTTGGAATGGCCTCCGATAGAGACATTATTATTCCTATAAAACTGGAAGGACCAACCTATGGAATTGACACTACTGCTGTAACACATGGGAGTAAGAAATCTACTACTGGTGGTGATTCTTTTGTTAAAGGTGATTCTCTAGCATCTATGGTTGAGGAAAACATTCGACAATTGGTAACATCGATATTTCTTCTGCTATTTCTGCTATTGGCTTACCTTGTGAGTTTTCTGGTCATTGTGCTTCTCCTTCTCATATTTGGATCATTGACTCTGGAGCCACCGACCACATGATAGGAGCTTACCCTAACCAACCAAGTAACCTTACTGAAACCCATCACAAACATTATGTTATTGCCAATGGTGAAAAGTTAAACATCATTGGTAGTAATAATCTATCTCTTAAGCTTCCACTCACTACATCTTTCCCTCTTACCAAGACCCTTCTTGTTCCTAATTTCACTACAAATTTGATTTCTGTTGGCCAATTAATTGATGAAGGTAACATTCTCATCTTCTCTTAGGATGGATGTTTGATTCAGGACCAGAACACTGGGAAGGTGAAAGGAAAGGGGCGCAGGTTGGGCCGTCTATTTGCATTGGAGTTCAAGAAGCCTCAAACAACAGAAACATCAGCTTGTTTCAATTCATCCACTTCTAGTTCCTTTCTGAGTCATAGAAATAATGTTTGGGACTTATGCATAAACGTTTGAGTCATTGACATGCTGAAAAATTAAAATTTTTGTTTGGTTCAGGCCTTATTAAGAATAGAGTTCCTTCCTTATCTATGCTTGGTAATATGTCTCCCTTTCAGAAGTTGTTTGGTCGTTCTCCAAATTTATCTATGCTTCATGTTTTTAGATGTGTGTGTTTTGTTCATCTTCCCTCTCGTGAATGCTCTAAATTGTCTACACAGTCAGTCATGTGTGCCTTTGTGGGTTACCGTCTTGATCACAAAGGATTTCTTTGTTATGACCCCTCTATTCGTCGCATTCGTATATCACATAATGTTGTTTTCCTTGAGCACATTTCCTTTTTTGCTGGAATTGCTAGACTGTCTACACCGTCTATTTCTATTTTGCCAAACTTTGATTCACAGGATGCTCCACTTCCTTCTGTTGAGAAGGACCTTCTCGTCTTCTATCGCAAGCGGTTATGTGCTCCAGCCCCTGCGCTTGTGACTCTCCTTCCTCCCGGTTCAGATCATCATCCTACCACTGCTCTTGTAAGTGATACCTCTACTTCAAACACTCTTCATACTGTTGTTCCTCTTCGTCGTTCTACTCGTATATCTAGACCTCCTGAATGCTATGGTTTTCCTTTAAACCATAACTCTTTGTCTATTGTCCTATCCTCCACAGATGTTCCTCGCTCCTACCAGGAAGCTAATAGCAACTCTCATTGGAAGGAAGCCATGGATGCAGAGATTCATGCTTTACATGAGAATGACACTTGGGACCTTGTGCCTACTCCTCCAAATGCATCCATTGTTGGGAGTCGTTGGGTTTACAACATCAAGCTGAAGTCTGATGGATCTCTTGATCGATACAAGGCATGTTTAGTTGCCCAGGGATATAATTAGGAGTATGGTATCGGCTATAAAGAAACCTTTGCTCCCATTGCTAAGATCACCACAGTCTGTGTTCTTTTAGCAGTGTTTGTTACTCAGTCTTGGACCATATGCCAGCTTGGTGTGAAGAATGCCTTTCTTCATGGTCAGTTGAAGGAGACGGTCTACATGAAGCTTCCTCCTGGATACTGCAGTGATCCTTCTTTAGTATGTCGTCTCAAAAAATCTCTATATGATCTAAAACAACCTCCCCGGGCATGGTTTGAACGCTTTCGCGATGTTGTAGTTGCTGCTGGATATAGCCAGAGTTCTTCTGATCACTCTCTCTTTGTTAGGTGATGGCCTCAAGGTATTACCATTCTCCTATTATATGTTGATGACATGTTGTTGACCGAGAATGATGCTGAGGGCATTCATGAATTGAAACTATTACTTCATAATTCCTTTCACATGAAGGACTTGGGCCCTCTCACCTATTTCCTAGGACTGGAAGTACATCGTAGTGATCGAGGCTATTTTGTTTGTCAGTAGAAGTATGCCACTGACCTTGTTAAACTTGCTAGTCTTAATGATGAAAAGCATGTTGATACACCTACGGAGCTAAATCTTAAGCTATCTAAATCTAAAGGTCCATTACTTCCTGATGTTGCCTTGTATCGCCAGCTTGTGGAGTCCCTCATTTATCTCACTATGACTCGGCCTGATATTTCTCATGGTGTTCAGGTTGTTAGTCAATTTGTTTTTGCTCCTCTTCAACCTCATATGACTGTTGTTCATCGCATTATTCGATATGCTAGAAGCACAACTTATCAGGGACTGTTCTTCTCCTCCTCCTCTCCTATTCAGTTGAGAGCATATGTTGATGCAGATTGGGCTGGTTGTCCCGACACTCGTAGGTCCACTTCTGGGTGGTGTATTTTTATGGATGATTCACTCATCTCTTGGAAGTGTAAGAAACAACAAACCGTCTCCAAGTCTTCCACTGAAACAGAGTATAGACCCATGTCTTCGGTTTGCAGTGAGATTGTTTGGTTACTATCTCTCTTTATGGATCTTGGCATTTAGTTTCCTACTCCTATTCCTCTCTATACAGACAATACAAGTGCTATCAAGATTGCATCTAACCCTATCTTCCATGAGAGGACCAAGCACATCGAGGTGGATTGCCACTTTATCCGAGATCTTTTCACTACCAGGTCTATATCGCTTCCTCATGTAGCTTCAGACATGCAGATTGCTGATATCTTCACCAAAGCCATGACTAGAGTTCAACATCTCTTTCTTATAGACAAACTGATGCTTATGTCTAGGCATCAGTTTGAGGCGGAGTGTGGAGACTCTATAACTTGATGTATCTTATTAGTATAGTCCCTGTTGTATATTACTTATACATCTTATTCTTCTTTTCTCTTTCAGCCCTATATGGGCATTCTTGTAATTGTACATATATTTTAATATATAAGAGACTCTTTGAGGTTGGGGTCTTTCATTCTTGGCACCTCTAAGATTATCCTTGTTCTTTTCTCTATTCAGCCAAGAGTGTTGACATAAACCATATTTGAAAAAGGAAAACAGTAACAAGAATTTCTAAACCATACCTTTTTTGATCCTCTAGAAACTAGTTTCTCATGATTGTAATCCTGGACGTAGCGGATTTTCCCATAAAGTTTCACATTATCAGCTTTTGTTTTTTCCAGCTCTACCATGAGCACCCCTATCTTCTCCTTCAACTGCCTCACTTCCTACATTTGGAAAATTCATGGAAATGTGCTTATTAGATGATAGTTTCATGAGAAAAAAATATCATGCAGATATTAAAGGATGGAAAAAAACATAGGTTCATTAGGTGTTTATTTGCATTATGTAAAACATTACACCTCTTCTGTCTCTCGCAAACGTGCCCGAAACCGATCTCGCTGGTTGCAAATAACCCTAAGCATTGAGCTTTGATCTTGTTCTGGGGAAACATGTTTATGATCTGCATGCTGATCCAGGATAACGGGTTACATATGAATCATTATGCACTTAGAGGAGGTATAGTAAATACAAAATCATGTATTACAAATACAGAAAACAATAACATTGGAGATTTTTCCACAATATAACTGCACCTATAAACTGCTATAACAAGTCTTCCAAATAGTAAGCCATAAACAGACATTATGTCACTTAAGAGATATATTGTTCCGTATATATAACAAGCTCTTATTGTGATGCAATGCTTAGAAAGGAAATACGACACAGATTTCAGATCTAAGTGAATCTTGGTATTTTTGGAATCTCTGGATCTCTGGCTGCATTTTAGGATTTCTAACTTAGTTCTACATATTAATATTTTTCTTTTTAATTCAGATTATTAATAATACATTGTAACAGGGTGATTACATAGAGATCAAGAGGTTCTTGGAAGCATAGACATATGCTAAGAGAGGTTAAAGACCTGATGAAGGAATTAAGAACAAGTGTAAAGTGGGTATCTCAATCTGCTAACACCTTAACAGAGGAACTAGCAAAGCAGGGGAAACAAGAAAGCAGAGGTAATTGATAATCTTGGTGGTTGTCTGAGGCTACTGAATTCAACCCACTATAGTTCTAAGGTCAGTTTCCAATGATTGAAGTTATTAGGGGCTACTATGTAATTTAACTCTAGTATAGAAAATTGTTCTATTATATAAAAAAAGAAATTTTATCTCTTATAACCATAGCACAGTGGTTTCTTTATTGGTCGGTCATGGAGGGAGAAGAGGCGGCACCACCACCACCATAGGTGTATTGGCCACAGAAGGCTTCATTTTTGGACATGGCAGCAGCACCACCATCACAGTAGGCTGTGCTTTTTCTTTTTTTCTCGGTTCTCTCCCTTCTCCTGGCACATACACTTCAGTATTGAAGTGTATCTGACAGTATACTTCATCTACACTTCAGCCCATTAAGTGTAAGCCTCAAAGATCTTTAGCACATAAGTAGTGTGCCATGGTGTATTTTGAGGACACCACACCTTGCCTCAAGGTGCTCCTTGAACTGAATGCCTCATACACATCTGGAAATACTTCTGATTACAATAATGATTGCATGGAAATGTTGGAAAACATAATTTACAAGAAAACTAGCAACGTTTCACAACAGGTTTTGCATGGATTTTCTTGTCAACTCAAGGGCATGATAAAAGAAAGAATAATACCTCAGATAGTTCAGGTGATCCCACTTCTTGAAGATCCCAATCATCAAAAATACTGCCTTTTCGATCTGTAGAGCTATAGCCCTGTAACAAAAGCAAGATGATGAAAAACAAACAAAACAAGTAGTAAACAATGGACATAATTTCTAAAACATGACTAGAATATCACTAATATGAGAAAGAATGCTAAAAGCAAGAAAGTTACCAAAATAGTTAATAATGATAAATTCTAGACAAGCCATAATCTTAAGCAAACCATGCTACTACATCAATTAAAGTTTCTACCTACTATGCAGAATTTTCCAAATAGGAAGATTATGCTCCCTCAGCACCAGATTTTGGAGCTGGAGCTGGAAGGTGAATGGGGACTTCAAGTTGTGATATTATAATGGTTATCGAAAAAAAGTGATATTCAAAGATGTTAAATGTCTTGAGCAGTTGAGCACTCATGAAGCATCTCGTATACCACAACACATTGAAAATTATTGTCGAATACTTTAACTTAAAATGTCCAATAAAATATTAAAATATCCAATGCACTTTGATGAAAATTGTTATTTTCTTTTTAAATCTACATCACGGGAGGGTATCCTCATTTACCAAGGGACCCACTATAGCGGAAAATGAATGAGGTTATTGTGGTCAACTTACTGGCTGACCAACTTACCCCCCCCTTCTAAATATCAACAAACATACAAGGCCTTACTTCCACCTGGTGTTGAATCATGTCCATGCAACACTATGTAATTGCATCTTGAGCTTTTCAAAATTCTAAAACTCTCTAATAAGGCTCATTAAATATTTAAATAATTCAACCCTTTAAAACAGTTAATCCCATTCCAAGACACAAAGGGAAGTGTAGAGAGAATGGGCCGAATGGCTCATAGGATGCTTTTATTTGTTTATGTTTCTGTTTATTGTGTTAATGGGCCTTTTTTATATTATGTTATGATTAATTAAGTTAATTTCCCAATTAAGGGCCTCTCTGTAACCCATCTTATGAAAAATGGATGCAAGAGAATTATACCATCATTGGATGGTTAGTGAACTCAATGCAACCACAAATCAGTCAACATTATTTATGGATGAATTCAGCCAAGGAAATATGGGATAGTGTGCCTGAAACTTACTCAGAAAAACTGAATGTGGCCAGGGGATATAAGCTAAGGAGTGATATGAATAATTTAAGGCAGAGGGAGAGACCTTTAGCCGTTTACTTCTCAATGATGAAATCTCTGTGGCAAGAGATAGACCTAATGGAAACTGTTGTCTGAGAAAGTACTAATGATGCTGAAACTTACAGGAAATTAGTTGAGAGAAACAGGATATTTGAATTCTTGACAGGGCTGAATCCCGAGTTTGACATCACCGGACAGAATATCTTACCCAAGGATAATGTATCATTCTCTCTAAACCCTATTGCCGCCAACTTCTTCTTCTCTCCTCTCCTTCTCTCTTCACTGCTGATATCTAACACCTTCTCACAACTTTTAAATCAGTCCTCTCATTCCTTAGGACTGTTTTTCTTCTTATGTTTTAATGAAAAGGAGAGGAGAGAAGAAGAAGAAGAAGAAGTTGGCAGCAATAGGGTTTAGAGAGAAGTCAATCGAATGTTTTCTCTCTTCCCTAATCCTTTTCATTAAAACATAATTTACAAAGTTCTGGTATTTACAAAGAGGCCCTTATTTGGGCGATTAACTTAATTAAGCATAACATAATATAAAAAAGTCCTATTAGTTAGAAGGCCCATTAACAAAATAAACAGAAAAATAAACAAATAAAAGCATCCTATGGGCCATTTGGCCCATTCTCTCTATAGGAAGGGAGAAACACGGACAAGGATGCAAAGAAACATGTAAGTGCTTATCTTGGCAAAGAATGTGACATGGATTGAGTAAAAAATAAGAAGATTCTCTTTCTCTTTTTCTTTGATGATTAACAGTAAAATTTTATTGATATTAGGAGAAATCCAGTATGTACAAGTCCACTTTTTGGAGATAAGGAGTCTTATCTCGACCCTTTTAGTTTCTTTTTAAATCTCTAGCAACTGTGCCCAAAACATTTGTTCCCTCTCAGCCCCCTGTCTTGCTAGAGCATTGGCCATCTTTTTCTTTTTCTTTTTCTGTTGGTAAGAGTGATATGCTTGTATAACCAATATTAGAAAATTTCGTATTTGCAATCAAGGTTCAAAATGTAGATACTATACGCCCCATATTGACATACCCCTGATACCTCAAATACAAGGTTTTTGGCATTTTAATCAATTTTAGAGGATAGTCAGGCCTAAACACCCCCCCCCACCTAAAAGAAAGGTTCGCATGTGGTTGAAACACCCAATACACACCATCTGGCATATTGGGGTGTATTGATATTTTGAACCTTGTTTGCAATTTTTAATAATAAAACTATCACATTTAAATATGGAATTGAAGTATCTTGACATTAAGTATCACCATTCATAATTATATAAGAGGTCTTGGAGACTCTAAATACCCTGATGTCTTAAATCTTCTACAGTTCCTGGAAGGGGTTTGGTTGGATCCTAAAAAGTTGATGGTCATATTTGGGTCCCTAACCCATCAGGATCTTTCTCTTGAGCCTCTTTTCTCCATGCTCTTTATCCTAACTCAGTAGTAATGCTTTTCCAATAAAAGAGATTTAGTGTACTCCTATTCCTTCCAAAATTGGGGCTTTTGTTGAGAAGTGTTCCACTATTCTGTGGAAAGGTCAATATGATGGACTCCCTACAAAAGAGAAAAACTAACTGGTATTTATTCCCTAACCGATGTCTTCTTTGCAAAACCAATGGTAAGACCTGCTACCACCTACTAATCTCCTGTCTATTTGTGACTAGTATTTGTAAATAGTTCTCCTCTCTATTTGTGTGAAGGTGGAGTTCCCTTTTAGATGTGGCTAGTTTAGTCTACCCTTTGACCTTGGCCAGAAAAGAAAGAAAGAAACATGTAGAGATGTACTAGGGCAGCTATTGCTTGGACAATATGGGAAGAGAGGAATATTAAAATCTTCAAAGAGCAAGAAAGAAGCAAGGAGACATTAATTGAATGCATTGAAGTAAGGGTAATACATTGGATAAAATCCTTGGATGCATTTTCATCTTTCTCCTTTGATGGCGTTATAAGGAAGTGGGGAGAAATGGCCACATTATCCACTAAATGGCAGGTGGGTGATGGGCAATGGACACCATCTCAAAAAGACTTTCTTAAGCTTAGTTTTGATGGCAGCAGCATCATAAATCTGGGGCAGTCCACAGTGAGAGGTCATTCTAGAGACAAAGAAGGCCAAGTAAGGGCTTTGTTCTTGGGTGCAGGCCCAATTGCCATTGGGGACTCTAAAAAGGCAGAACTCATGGCTGTTCTTCAATGGGTGCAACTAGCAAAGGATCTGAATTTTAACAAGATAATCATTGAAGGGGACTCAAAAGTGGTGTTTAGTTGATTGAAGAATAGTGATAATGTGCTGTGGTCCTATAAGAATGAAATGCAGAAATTTAAATGGTTAACAAGAAACATGCATGTCAAAGTTCAATGGGTACAAAGATTGGATAATAGCATGGTTGATGCTTTAGCCAAACAAGGATCATTAGAGAGGAATTGTTTTGGGCTCATTTGCAAAGGGAAAGTATGGGCTTGAGAGTGGATTATAGCAGACCAATAAAAAATAGTAAAAATATTTCAGATTATAGCAGAAGAGGAAGAGAAGAAGAAGAAGACAGCATGAAAAAGAAGGAAGAATGGAGAAGAAGGGAGAAAGAAGGAGTTCGATAACCTGCTCTTTCTCCACTCTAATATTTTATTAATCTTACTAAGATTACATAAATTACAAGTCTACCCTTAAGTGGGCATCCACCTCATCAACATACTTAGAAAACATAAAAAGAATTAAAGGCCCATAAAGAAAAGGTCCATTAAGAACAAGTAACAAGAAAGAAATCAACAAGATAGTTGTTGTTGTTCCAAAACCTATCTGGAAGAAGATCTGGATGAAGTTTCCAACAAGTATCCTTAGTATGTTTCGGTTTCTTGCAGCATTCACATATCACCTCTTTCTTCTCAATTGACCCCTTTGGTTTTATTCTAACATGTGCAAAATGTTCTGAAGGTGGTGGACCCTATAACTATACCTGTCACTTGCTCTCTTCATTGTTCACCATAGAATATGCCTGAGCAAGTGTTACTTCATCCTTGGCCAGAATATTTTGTCTCGTAATATCAAATTCAGGGTTAAGTCCTGTAAGAAACTCAAACACCCTGTTTCTTTCCACAAATTTCCTAAATGTCTCTGCATCCGTGGTGTTTTCACATACAACTGCTTCCATAACATCAATCTCCTGCCATAGTGACTTCAACATTGAGTAGTAGACAGCTACACTCCTCCTCCTGTATCAGATTTTTACATCATTCTTCAGTTTGTAGCAATGTTTTAAAACACGGAGGCGTGACGCGAGGCGTTCCACTACCTAGAGGCGTGAGGCGTAAGCCTTCTTAAGAGGAGGGGGGATCTCATTTTTTTCTTTATTTTTAATAAAAATCTTTTATAATAAGAAGAATAAAGATGCATAATAGTGGTTCAAAGGGGGGGGGGGCGAAGCCCCCCAGCCGAAGGGGCAGGGGGCAAACCATTTTCTTTCCCCTTATCTTTTCTTCCCTTCCCTTTTCTTTTCTTTCCTTTTCTCTTTTTTTCTTCTCTTTCCTTTCTTTTCCTTTCCTTTCCTTTCCCTTTCTTTTCCTTTCCTTTCCTTTCCTTTTCTTTCCCTTTCTTTTCTTTTCTTTTCTTTTCCTTTCCTTTCCTTTCCTTTCCTTTTTTTTCTTTTTTCTTTTTTTTTTCCTTTATTTTCATATCAGGTGTGCATGAGGCGTACGCCTCTAGCACGCCTCATGAAAAAAGTGTACGCCTCAGAGGTATCAACGCCTTTGGCATACGCCTCAAGGCGTTTTGGGAGTGCCTTCCTCCAGGCGTACGCCTCCCACGCCTTTTAAAACACTGGTTTGTAGGCCCTTACAACATTCAATTTCCAAGAATATGTTTCTATAACACTACGCCAAATCTCCTTGGCTGAAGTCATCCAAAGATAATGTTGACTTATGTGGGGCTGCATAGAATTTACCAACCATCCAATACTGTGTAGTTATCCTGCATCCATTTCTCATATGTAGGATCAGTCTCTTTTGGTTTCTCCTTACTACCGCGAGAAACCCTAGTTTACCTCTAATACAGACATGAGTCTTTATAGATTGTGCCCAAGCTAAATAATTTGTTCCGTCAAGTTTGATTGTAGTCACTCCTATCAAAATGGAATCTATGAAACCAACCCCTGGCACCGAGATTTGCTTCATCTCACTTCCAGATTGCTCCATTGATCAAACGAAAATCAAAAAACAAGGTTTTCAAGCTTTATAGACCTAACTGAGATCAATCCAACACTTAAAATCCCAAAACTAGGGTTTCACTGTACCTGGCCTCTAAGGAGAAAGAGAGAAGAAGTAGCCACTCCAACCAGAGCTTCCCAAACCTCTTCTAACTGCAACCCCCACTTTTGGAGATCAAAAGGAACCCTCCAAGCCTTTAGTGCCACACCCAAACAGTCTCTTTAACCTGTAACTGGAAGCTCTCTAGTCGGCTAGGGTTTTGGGCAAAAAATCAGCAGCCCAACTTCCTTGGCAATCTGCAGCCAGATTCTAGCTCTCTAAACCCTCTACCAACTAGGCATACAAGTTCTCTGAATAATCAGCAACTTATCTCTCTCTCCATACACCTTTCGATTAGAAGAGTGTATGTGAAAAGAAAAGAAAGATAAAAGAGAAGGAAGACCTGCTCTGATACCAAGATGTGATTCAGACCAATAAAAAATAGTAAAAATATTTCAGATTATAGTAGAAGAGGAAGAGAAGAAGAAGAAGAAGACAACAAGAAGAAGAAGGAAGAATGGAGAAGAAGGGATAAAGGAGTTTGATAATCTTCTCTTTCTCCACTCTAATCTTTTATTAATCTTACTAAGATTACATAAATTACAAGTCTGCCCTTAAGTGGGCGTCCACCTCATCAGCATACTTAGAAAACATAAAAAGAACTAAAGGCAAATAAAGAAAAGGCCCATTAAGAAAAAATAGCAAGAAAGAACTAATCAATAAGATGGTAATGGGCTAGGGCCCATTTGGCCCAGTCTCTCTACACTCCCTAAAGATCTCTTGTAAACTATGTACAACTTTGTTCATAATTAATACAATTTACAGTTACTTATCAAAGTAAAAAATGCACAGCATTAACATAAACAAGTGTGTCATTCATATTCAAATGAGTGTAATGTATTAAAAGAAATTGAAGCTACAGTGCCCCAAAATCTATTTTGAATATTTTACTAAAATACTAAAGTAAAAAAAATGGAGGGTTTTCATCCACTGTTTTATGTTAAAATATAATGGGGAACACAATAAAATGGTTACCCAACTTTTATTTATAACATTTTTATTATAGAAAAAAAAAACTAGCTTAAAAGGTAAAAGCATATAAGGCATACACCTCTGCACTTCCATTGTGTACCCCGAGATGTTTCTTAGTTCCTCACCTTGAGGTACGCCTCTAGGACCTTTCAAAACAGTGTATAATATTCTGGTGCTTTTAATGTGGTTAGACTCTTTTCTGGCAACAAATTTATGTATATATAGTTTCAGTTTTCAGTAAACAGTGATTCATATTTTTCAGAAATGCAGTTAGCTAGCCATTACACTTCTGAACTATACAAACCACAGATATCACATGAAACATCATCCCAACCTTAGATGGTTCTGGGCACTAATGTTGCTCCTAATATACTTTGGATTGAAGACCACAAGCATAGACATCTGCAAAAGATGGAGTGAACAAATAGCCACATAATAGAGAGGGAACTGAAGGTCAAAGGTCCACACCTTCAATATATCATCTTCAAGTTTTGCTATTAACTTTTGTTGTTCATTCACCTTAGCACTTAGCTCAGCAACCTTGGCTTCAGCTGTTTCTAACAAAGATGTTTTTTCTGAGAGTTTGACCTGAAAATAAGAAATGGAAAGATGATGCTACTGAAAAGCAATACTCATTAAATACCAAATGAGAACAAAGTACTGAAAGAGACATGTGGCAAATTTTCAACTGTATCTTTGCTACTCTTTAGGCATATCTTTATGGATATTCATTTAGTATCATTATGTGAAACTGGACATAAAAGTGTTGAAAACATAACCACTAAATCCAGTCCGTACCTTTAACTGTGTGAATTCATGTTCCATTTTCCGGTTCTTATCAAGAAGTAGATATTCCAGCTTGCTCATCTCTTCTACACTTGTAGCTAATTCCCAATCTTCGGCCTCAATTGAATTATAACCTACTGCCTATGGTGAAAAAAACACAACTGAAAGGTCAATAGAGATTTGCTGGAAACTGTTGGGACCAATGAAGCAATGCAAAGGAAGATAAATGCATATAAAATATCAAAAGAAAATATTGCATACAAAATATTAAAGCAACTAGCATGATGATACATCATAACACCATGAAGTGCATGACAAGTTAAAGATACAGTAGGCATGTAACTCTCAAGCCTTTAAGTGTAAAGGACAGAGTTAAAGGAATATAACAATGCCAAAAATCTAACTTAAAAAAAAAAGTATATCACACTCTCAAGCCATAAGTCATAAAATAACAAAGCTAGAAGGAATCTACCAATTAAAAGAGACGTCATCATACATCTCCAAAGAATCCAAGACCTTAACTTTCTTCTATGAAGAGGATAGACGATGCAGAAAATTTTCATGTGGACTGTAAGGATAATTATGTAAGTGCTGGTCTCAAGAATTATCTTTACTAGGAAAAAAATGAAGGAATCAATAATTTAATAACATATCTTAAAAAGAAAACTAAATTATACTATTTTCACTGAACTCTTTTTTATAGTTGATAGGTAATTTATTGATAAAGAGGAATAACTGAAATAATTCCATTTCAATTGCCAACCAAAGAGGTTATTAGTATTTGGATTTTTAAGGGATTTGAATTTTTTGTTATCAATTTAAGGGATTTGAGTATTTCAAGTTTATCTAAGATTTGGTTACCTATTAATTTCGTTATAGATCGAATTACTTAAAATTGCTGAAGGTCAACATCAGAAATCCACACATCAATAATAATTTTTCAATCAACTTCTTCCTCTTTTGTTTCTGACAGCAAAATCACCTCCACCTTGTGCCATCTCGCCACATCTCTTATCACTTCTCTCCTCCCTGAATCCCTCAAAACCCTCACATTCCATGCATTAACAACTAAAAATAAGTTGCTGTTACATTATGTATCCCCCTTGTAAGGGGATAGACTGGTCTTGTACCGTGGTGCTATTACAAATTAACCGTGGCCGCACACTCCAGAAACCAGTGAACATACGTCCTGCAACAAGCAGACTCAAGGGGAGCCACAGATTCTCCGACAACAGAATCCACCGTGACTGCCTCTTCTTATGAGGGACAGGACCACGGTCCCCAGCCGTGAGCCGGGAACAGAAGCACAAGTGAGACTACTCATATGGCCATGCGTGATTTTAGATTTTATCCCCTAGTATGAGATGTGGTAGGATCCTATGAGAGTAGTGGTTAAGCCATTCATTGATCCCCACAATGCAATCTAACGCATGTCCTCGTTCGAATCAACCTAGAAACCTGGACCAGTAACCACCTAAAGAAGATTCTAGAATTCTTGCCTACGCCAGAGCCCTATCTTGATCTATAAATAGCAGGACTTGTGATGAAGAAGGGGGACCATGCTCTCTATTCATTCTCATTCTGTTATTCTCAAAGAGCTCCCAGGTTCTCTGAGAATTCAGTTCACCAAATCCTAATTCCACTCTCCCTGCCATAGTTGTCAAGGCATTGCCTAGCCGACTAGGCACCCATGGCTGGGCGCTTGCCCAAACACCTTGACTTATAGCAACTAGGTGGGCCTTCTAGGTGACTAAGCGCCTGCCTAGGCGACAAAAATGACAAGGCAGGCGCCTTATGTAATATCATTTATATTGTTGTATCTTAATAATATGTGTGTTAATACATTTGATTATATGCTATATATATCATTTATACTTTGTTTTAATGTTTTACTATTGAAATTTAAAAGATCAAAGGGTTTTAAGGACAGAAAAAGAAAGAAAGAAAGAAAAAAGAAAGAGGAAAGAAGGATATTAGTATAAAGAGGTTCTTTTTTTTCTATTCTCTCTCTCTCTCTCTAATTAAATAAAATAGAAATTCCATCCTTGTTTTTTCTATTTTACTTTCCATCTTAAATATTTATCATATAAAGTTAATAACCTTCTTAAGCTGCTAATTGATATGAAATTGCTCTAGTAAATACTTATTATAGTAGTATTAGTTTTGAAAATAATGATTTTTTTTATCAGCAAAGAAGAATTTTATTTGAAATTAGATTTAAAATTTTACAACTTTGTGTATGGGATTTGCCACATTTTTAGAGGAAATTTAATGTTCTTAATAAAGAAAATTGCTATTTTTTTCAATTAATATACATGTTGAATGGTATATAAAACTAGGGAACTAGCCAAAAGTTAGTTTTTTATATTATAAAATTCTTATCGCCTAGATGTCACCTAGGCGACTAGGTGCCCCAGTGTCGCCCAGAATCACCTAGTCCCTAGAATAACTGCCCTCTATTGACCCCTTGCTTGGTCATAGCATCAGCCAATGCATTGACTGATCTTTAGATCAGAGTTACATTAATATTCCTGTCCCTTTTTTGTTTTTTTTTTGTTTTTGATAAATGATTGAAAATTTATTCATGATAATCAAAATGATATTACAATACAGCCTGCCCAAAGGAGAGGCACAAGCTGGTATCTCTCCACAACAACAACAAAGTACTACCTTAGACTAGGAAAAGAAAGCTTACAGCGCTGCCCAGAATAAATGTTCCCTTGATACCCCTTGTTTAGCTAACCCATCCACTATGGTATTAGCTGTTCTACCCACCCACTGATAATTAACAGTCATGTTCCTTGAAAACCAATTAGCTTTCCTCATAAGATCCCTGTAGCACCAAATAACTGAAACTGTTTTTTTTAACCATCCCACAACGACTTTGGAGTCTCCTTCAATAAGCAAATTCTGAACTCCTAACTGGTCTGCAATCTGAATACCTTGTACTGCTGCTAGAAGCTCAGCTCTAATAGAGTCTCCTATACCCATGGAGCCTGAGAATAAAGCTAATATATTACTATCTTTATCTCTCAGCACCCCACCTATCCCTGATGGACCCAGATTTCCTTGGCTGCTACCATCAAAATTCAGCTTTGTCCAGTCTTCTGAAGGAGGCACCCACACCGCTGGTACCCTGTTCTTCCTGTTACTGCTACTAGCCACAGCAATTCAGTTCCTCCAAATGTCATCAAAGGAATATGTTTTAAAGGAGTCCAATGATCTCAGCCAATTGATTGCCCTGGTCAAAATGCAATCCTTTACGATCTGAATATTTCTCTCCTCTTGGAAAATCCTCGCATTTCTTTCTTCCTAAATTGTTCACAAAGCAGCAGCTCTAATGCACCTCCACATTGTTTTACCAAATTTTGTGGGCCACACAAAGAAGGAAGGGTCAAAGATCTGATCTACGGCTGTGGTCAAGTTTCATCTACAACCAAACAAAGCAAAGATCCAACCCCAAATAGCATCAGAAAAAGAACAGGTTATAAGTAAGTAAGAACAATCCTCACCATTAGCCCTGAAAAGTACACACCAATTAGGAGACAGACACAGAGAAAGCCTTCTCTTCTGCAATAAATCTAAAGTGTTGATTTTCCTATAGAACACCTACCAGCAGAAAATAATAATTTTAGGAGGTACAGGTCTAGACCAAATCTCCTTAGCTGGGAAACCCACTTGTCCCGAGGGAGAGCAAAGGGACTTAAAGAAGGAAGCACACATGAAGTAACCTTTTGGACTAGGGGACCAAAGTCTCACATCAGATCTTAAAGGGTCCAGAAAAACACTTTCAAGTAGTGAACTCCCTCATGATGTTCTTGTATTGCCAATATCAACCCATGCAGGATTTTTTGAAACATTAAGCATAGAAAACAATTTATAAAAGTAAAAATAAAATAATTTCACCTTTCTAAGACTGATTAAGCTCAAAATTATCTACCTCTAATACATTTATAAGTGGAAAGGATATTTAAAATAGGATATCATTGATGCATGTGCCATCTCCACCATGCATGAATTTTGACTGCCCATCCAATAATAACTTAAAAGTAAGATACACAGGATGCTCCTCAACTTTTCTTCATTTATAACTACCTTTTAGGTTTCATTCTGGTACACTGATTCATGTAACTTTTGAAAAAAAACAGTTGAAAGGAAACCACTGTTTCTTTCGAGTCAGTTTCTAATCTGATAGTGAACTTGGGGAAGAGTTGTGAATGGCATCATAAGAGCATGGTCTGAAGTGGCAGCCTCCTCAAGAAAAAAGGAAAAGAGGGTTATGGTATGGTCACCCCCAGAAGCTAATAAAATAAAACTGAATTTTGATGAGAGTTCCATGGGAAGCACTGGAATGGCAGGTATTGGAGGAGTTTTTAGAGACTGCACAGGGAAAGTATTGGCTATGTTTTCAGGTCCCTTGGAGTTGGGAGACTCACTAAAGGCAGAACTGATGGCACCAAACTTTCAGCAATTGGAAGTAGAGGGGATTCAAGGCTAATCATTTCTTGGGCCAAGAACAAACAGCTCATGCCATGGATCTATAGGCATGAGTTTAGGGAAATAGAAAGCATAACATAGGAGCTGAACATTACATTCAATTGGGTAAGAAGGACTGCAAATGGGATGGCTGATACTCTAGAAAAACAAGGGTATATGGGTAACACTTGTTTTGGGCGCAATTGTAACATATGTTACTTGTGGGGATTGATCTGACATATGGTACTATCAAGATTTAGTACATCTTAATAAAAATTTCAGTTCTTATTGCTGATAAAAAAAAACAGTTGTAAAATTAAACATGGAAGAATCCACTCAAGATAATATTACTAAGTCTAGAGAAGGGAAGCACCTGCAAAATTTTGACTTTTTTACGCAAATCATCAACTAGTTTTGTTGTTGGTCTTGCCTGAAGCTCTTTCTTCATGTCCTCAAGCACAGTATCCTGTAAATTAACAAAGAAAAACATCTGAAAAGAATGCGGAAAATATCTGTTCCGAACATAATGGAACCAAAATGACCTAGTCACCTAGATATGGCACAGTTGTCCATTACAATATGACAATGCTCAACCCAATATAAGCATGAGAATACATGACAAGGCAGTATTATCATCTCCTAGGTAATTTTTAGTTTTTAATATGTTTAGCACTAGTTTAGGTTAAATTCTCATTGATAACTGTTAATGCTATATAAGTTGTAACTTGTAGAAATGGAAAAACCAACAAGAATATTGTAAAAGAATAGTTTGGAGGTTAAGATTGTTAGGCACATGGTTTCAAATGTCGCCCGACATATGTCGATGCCGAGGCTCACCGACATGAAAATGGATGGTAATATAAAAATTACATTATGTCGGTCGACATTTCCGAAAAATGTCGACCAAATCGGTCCAAATAACCAAAAAAAAATACAGTTTTTCCTATTATGTTGACAAGATGTCGACTAATGTACATTAAAAATATAATATATTAGTGTATTATATTAATATAATACAGTATATTAATATAGATTATTCCATTAATATTTCAAATAAAATATTTATAAAAAGAATTAACAAAATATAAAACAAAAGAATAAATTAATTACTTTATAATATAAAACATAAAATATTTTTCAAGTAATAAAATATTAACATTTAGTATTTTTTAAAATATTTATTAAAATCAGAAAATGT